ACAAACAGCCTCCAGCATGTAAGTCACTCCCCACTTGGACTGTGTGCTGCAGCCAGCCACTCCCTTGGCGCTACCAGCCGGGTTTGTATTGCAGGGTGACCCCAACACATCCCCAGGCCTGATTCCACCCAGAAATGTGTGTGCTGGACTGCCCAGCCCTCTCTTGGAAAGGACAAGCTAGGTATGCAAGTCTCTCTTTTATTACATAGAAATGACAATGCACAAATCCTAGGGCTGCCAAACCCCGACTTGTCCTGGAGCCTCCAGGAATTAAAGATGAATCTTTAATTAAAGAGTAGGTCATGTGATGAAATTCCAGGAATATGTCCAAACCAAATTGGCAACCCTACCAAATCCTGTTATCCCAAATGGACTTTGCCATACACCCGCTTCAGTTCAAACACACTGGATTAGCTAAGACAATAAAACAAGTTTATTATCCACAGAGTGGGTGATTTTAAGTGAATGAATCAACCCCGAAGTCAGAAATAGTTACAAGCAAAAGATAAAGCACAGCTAAGGACTAACTCAACAAACTACAGGTTAAATTCAAAGCCAAGGTTTTACTCACCCCACATGCTCTCAACAGTCTTGCTTTGGCCACCCCTTAGGCCAGGGAGCCCTTTCCCAGCTGAATGGCTGCTTTCTTTCCCTTCGGGTGCAGTGAATCAGTGGGCAGAGAGAGAGCAGGGGGTAGTTTACCTGTCTGTCACCTGTTTTTATAGTCCTTTCCCCCCCTCTGAGAAGCATTTCCAGCTGTGAACAAGGTAACAGGCAGGTGTGTGGATAGGAACTCCAGACTGTATCTTTGCTAAGATGTGGATTCTCCGCCCCTGCCCCCTTTCCCTGCCAAAGGATGGCCAGGTAGCAGGTAAGGGCCCATTGGCCTTGTTTATACCTGGTTGAGGGCATCACCTGGCCCTTTGTCTCTGAGGAACTGGTTTGGCTGCTCCCCAGCCTTGGAACATGTGTTAGGCCATGTCTACCCTGCACTTTCATCATTAAAATTTTTGTTGCTTATGGGTGTGAACGACAAAAGTTTTACTGACGAAATACACCCGTGTGGACAGCGCTGTGTCGGTGGAAGCTGAGCTCCCATCGATGGAGCTACCAGCCCTCGTCGGGGGTGGTGTTACTTTGTCTCTGGGAGAGCTTCCCATTGTCCGTGCACCTTACACTGGAGCGGCTGCACTGGGTAAGGCGTGCAGTGTGGTAACAGCAGACAGTGGAATCTTCCCATATTTGACCAGGAAATTAGAGTTTTCGAGTGATACCTCCCAGGGCATCCCTTGTACAAAGCTTATTACAACGGTGGACACACCCCTGTCACCAGGCTCAGCTCTAGGCACCAGCAAACCAAGCACGCGCTTGGATGGCACTTTTCAAGGGGCGGCATTCCGGCCCTTATTTTTTCTGCTTCGGTGACACTCCGCTTGGGGGCAGCAAAACACCTGGGAGCTGGCCTGCCTGTCACACCCCTTACTCCTGGCTGACAAAGGACTGAGAGGCGTGTCCCCCCCCTGCAGCCCACCCTAGTCCACAGACAAGCCAGGCGAGGCAGAGCTGTGCTCTTCACTGGCTGTGAGCCTACACATGTCTGCTTGGGCAGGGCTAGAACCTCCTACCCCGTCAAGCCTCAGAGGGGGAGCAGATCCAATGCCCACAGCACAATCTCCTTTACAACTCTCACGCTGCAGGAGCTTGGCCAAAGGTCCAGTTCCTGGGGACTCAGCCACAATCGGTTTACATACATTCTTACCAGGAGGCCTGTCTTCCTCCCTTACCCAGCTCTCCTTGACCACAGTGACGTGGGACATGGGGTCCCCTCCAGCCTGGGTAGGGTAGGCCATTGACCGTGGTGTTCTAATAAATTCTGCACCACCCTCCACAGGCTCGGGTCCTAATCCAGCTCTGCCAGGGTCCCTGCTGCTCACCGCTGCTGCTGGGGCACCGGGAGTGGGGCTTGCTGTGGCAGGTGGGGCGTGGAACGTGCAGTTACCTTGTTTTGGCAGGTTGGTTTTAGATGACTGGGAGGTCCACAGGGATGTCAGACTGCCTGCCTGCCTTCCCCTTTTGCTCTGGGCTCTAAACCCTGGGCTCCCTTGGGGTTTTATCGAAGTTGGGGATAGGTTTATTTCCAGTCCCCTCTTAAGCTGCGTGATGGGGATTTCCCTTCCCTGGGGTAACCCTCCCCACCCTCTCATGGACCCTTGATTCAACATATTCATCCACAATTTCTGCAGCCTCTAAAATCGTGGCTGGTTTTGGTCCCAGATGGCCACCTTTACCTCATCTGTGACACCTTAACAATTGCTCTGGGGCCATCCGATCAAAGATTTTCTGTCATCACCTTCAGCCCCACTCCCATTGTCCATTTTCTCATGAAATTACACATTTTATGTGCATATTCCACGTGAGTGACATTGTCAAACAGTCTGAGGTTTCTCCACGTCAGTCGATGGGGCTCAGGGGTGATCTTACACCTTTTCAATGCGTTTGCTTTACATTTCCTGGTACACGTACATCACCCTCCTCCATCTCATAAAAGACTTGTCTGGCTTCCCCAGCTCCCTGGTTCAGAGGAGAGGCGGCTGTTTATCTGCTGGGATATTGTGCATCCCACGTAGTCTCCCAAAGGCAGACAGGAACCCTTTCATGCATCTCTTTGGGTATCAGTTGGGCAGCTTGTATCCCGCCCCTGTGTGTCATGGTGGGGCCGCTCTCTAGGTGAGGACGAGCTTCTATCAGCCTCCCTGTGCGCCCGTCTGCTCAGCCGTCTTCATTCGCTTTACCCGCTGCTGTTTGTTCCATCTCTTTGGTGGCTTCAGTCTCTGACCCGTAGATCTGCCAGCAGTCACTGGGGCTTGCTTTCTCCCTGGGCTCCCAGGTGCTGCAATCAGCCTGTTCCCCTGTGGTGGTTCCTCTGTGGCATGGGGTCTTCTCCTCCCCTGGGCACCAGATCAGGAGCGCCCAAGCTCTCAGCTCCCGGAACTGGGACTTTCTTTGGATAGGATATGCCCCTCTGCAGACTTGGGTAGCTAGGGCTTTCTCATAAGACCAGCAGAGCCTGTGGCTCACTCATTGTGTCTGTTCTTTAACCTCCAAAACTCTCACTGTTGAGTTTAAATTTTAACAGCGCTGGGGTTCTGGTCTATGAGCTTAATTGACCTCCAGTATGTGAATCCTGTCAAGCTGCCTGCAGGGACCCCAAGCATGGGTACCAACCTCAGGGCAGGCTGGTAGGAACCAGGGCACAAAGCCCAGGCTGGTGGGGAGTTCTGTACCTAGACTGCACCAGCCCGTTATCTAGTGTGAACCCCTCAGGCGCTGTGACAGCCTGAACATGGAGCCACGGACAGTCCCCTTGGGTGCTCCGATCTGTCTCACCACCCAGGGGAGCCTGCCTGTGTGGCAGATGGGCCCTTATGCCAAGGATCACAGCAATACTCAGGCAACTCCCAGTCCCAAAGGACCAGTAATTTAGCCTAGGGCAAATGCACCTCAGATCTCTCACCAAAGACAGAGCTTGTAGTTTATTATAGGACTGGCTATCTAAAGATTTATTAATAGGAAAAGGGAAATCAGAGAGTTATTTTCAAGGTTAAAGCAGGTAAACATAGATACACAAATGAGTTATAATCTTAAATTCAAAAGGTAATAGAAGCTTCTATAATCCACAAGCCGTATTTGTCCTTTAGAGCTAATCCAAGTTAAGAAGCTGGGTATCCCTTGCTTATGGCTAGAAACCTTGTCTCCCAGAGTCCAAGCAGCACAGAGATCCAGTTCCTTCTTGTTATGGTTTTTAACCCCTCCTGCCACATGCCCTGACCTGGGCAATCAGCTAATGGAAGGAATCCACTTGCATGACTCGTCTTCACAGGGGGCAGGGGGAGGGCAGAACAACACATGGCTGTTGTCCTCTTTATCGTCCCACAACAGTCCATCTGGTGTCAATGGCCCGTCCCTGCTGGGCAGGATGTGACACCTGCGGTTGGGGGTCAGCCCTTCACACTGGTTAGTCTCTCCTGTCTGGTGATTTACACAGTGGCAGGGGCTCACCATGCACCCGCTCAAATATTCCCTGACGACATGGGAGCCAGCTGCTAGAAGTGAGATTAATGCTGCAACCACTCACCAGCGATCCATAATCTGAACCCCAAACACATCCTTATCGCTCTCATACCTGCTTTAACACCACTAACCCACAGCTGAGCCGGACTGATCCCAGCGATGTTATTTGTTCGTGTTCAGTGAGGCATGAGGAGCTTGGCATGAGCTGGTCCCTGGTGGGACAGTATTACAGGGGGTCCTGTGGTCTTCCAAGGGGGTGGGGGGGTGTTCCGTGCTCTCCCATGGGGTGGGGGGGTTCCGTGCGCTCCCACAGGGGCAGGGGGTTCTGGGCTGTCCCACGGAGGTGGGGGTTTTCATGCTTTCCCGGGGTGAGGGTGCAACCCTGCTAACGAGGCCTGTCCCTCTCCCAGACCAGGTTGGCCTTCCAGACTTCAATGCAGGTGCCATGGAGAACTGGGGACTCGTGACGTACCGGGAGAACTCGCTGCTCTATGATCCTCTCTTCTCTTCCATCGGCAACAAGGAGAGGGTGGCAACAGTGATCGCTCATGAGCTTGCCCACCAGGTACCCAGTGTATCCTGCTCTGCCTCCCTGCCAGCCCTCAGCTGGGTGTAGAGATACTGAAGGGCTGGAACTAGTCCAGGATTCCCTGGGCTCGGGGGCTCCCTGGCTGTGTGTGTGTGTGTGTGGGGGGGGCTCTGTCCTGGGGCTCCTGGCTATGTGTGTGCATGTGGGGGGCTCTGTCCCTGGGCTTGGGGCTCCCTGGATGTGTGTGTTGGGGGCTCTGTCCCTGGGCTCGGGGGCTTCCTCGCTGTGTCTGTCGGGGGGCTCTGTGCTGGGGCTCCCTGGGCTCGGGGGCTCCCTGGCTGTGTGTGTGGGGGGGCTCTGTCCCTGGGCTCGGGGCTCCCTGGATGTGTGTGTCGGGGGCTCTGTCCCTGGGCTCGGGGCTCCCTGGCTGTGTGTGTGTCAGGGGGGCTCTGTCCCTGGGCTTGGGGCTCCCTGGCTGTGTGTGGGTTGGGGGGCTCTGTCCTGGGGCTCCCTGGCTGTGTGTGTGTGTGGGGGGGGCTCTGTCCCTGGGCTCGGGGCTCCCTGGATGTGTGTGTCGGGGGGCTCTGTCCCTGGGCTCGGGGCTCCCTGGCTGTGTGTGTGTCAGGGGGCTCTGTCCCGGGGCTTGGGGCTCCCTGGCTGTGTGTGTCGGGGGGGCTCTGTCCCTGGGCTTGGGGCTCCCTGGCTGTGTGTGGGTTGGGGGGCTCTGTCCTGGGGCTCCCTGGCTGTGTGTGGGTTGGGGGGCTCTGTCCTGGGGCTCCCTGGCTATGTGTGTGCATGTGGGGGGCTCTGTCCCTGGGCTCGGGGCTCCCTGGCTGTGTGTGGGTTGGGGGCTCTGTCCTGGGGCTCCCTGGCTGTGTGTGTGTCAGGGGGGCTCTGTCCCTGGGCTCGGGGCTCCCTGGATGTGTGTGGGTTGGGGGGCTCTGTCCTGGGGCTCCCTGGCTGTGTGTGTGTGGGGGCTCTGTCCCTGGGCTCGGGGCTCCCTGGCTGTGTGTGTGTCAGGGGGGGCTCTGTCCCTGGGCTTGGGGGCTCCCTGGCTGTGTGTGGGTTGGGGGGCTCTGTCCTGGGGCTCCCTGGCTGTGTGTGTGTGTGGGGGGCTCTGTCCCTGGGCTCTCCTGGGCCCTGGATGTGTGTGTCGGGGGGCTCTGTCCCTGGGCTCGGGGCTCCCTGGCTGTGTGTGTGCGGGGGGCTCTGTCCCGGGGCTTGGGGCTCCCTGGCTGTGTGTGTGGGGGGCTCTGTCCCTGGGCTTGGGGCTCCCTGGCTGTGTGTGGGTTGGGGGGCTCTGTCCTGGGGCTCCCTGGCTGTGTGTGGGTTGGGGGCTCTGTCCTGGGGCTCCCTGGCTATGTGTGTGCATGTGGGGGGCTCTGTCCCTGGGCTCGGGCTCCCTGGCTGTGTGTGGTTGGGGGGCTCTGTCCTGGGGCTCCCTGGCTGTGTGTGTGTCAGGGGGGCTCTGTCCCTGGGCTCGGGGCTCCCTGGCTGTGTGTGGGTTGGGGGGCTCTGTCCTGGGGCTCCCTGGCTGTGTGTGTGTGGGGGGGCTCTGTCCTGGGGCTCCCTGGCTGTGTGTGGGTTGGGGGGCTCTGTCCTGGGGCTCCCTGGCTGACCCTCCCCTTCTCACTCTCTCCTCAGTGGTTCGGGAACCTGGTGACCCTGCGCTGGTGGAATGACCTGTGGCTGAACGAGGGCTTTGCCTCCTACGTGGAGTACCTGGGGGCGGACTCTGCTGAGCCTTCCTGGCACATTGTGAGTAGCCCCAGGAGGGGTGGTGCTACCTAGCGGGCTGCAGCGGCAGGAGCTGGCCTTCCCTTGTCACCCGCACGGCCCCTTGGGCCACTGGTGGGCTCGCTGAGGTGGCAGGCTTCGGCCCAGGCAGGATCACCTGGCCGGAAGGAGCTGTGTGCTCCAGGGAGGGGCCCTGCTCTCTGCTTGGCTGCAGCCTTTCCTGGCGCTGGGACCCGGTGATGGAGGCCAGTGGGTCTCGGTCGTCCCTCCAGAGGGGCAGCCTGGCGCTGCCGGCAGCAGTGAGCGAGAGCTGCTTGCCGGGGCAGGGCCCACCCAGCTCCTGGTGCTGCTGGGCAGGGAGGAGGCAGCCCCCTCCGCAGGCCCATCCTGCAGGGGGTGAGAACGCCGAGCCCTAGGCTGGGCTCAGCCAGGCTGGGGGCAGGAAGGGAAGAGACGGCGCCGTGTCTGGGCTGGTAGCAGTCCCCACACGCCCGCGGAGGGGCTGCCCCGGCACCGCCCCGGGCAGGCTGTAACCTGCTGCCTTTGCAGAAAGACCTGATCGTGCAGAATGACATGTACCGGGTGATGAAGGTCGACGCGCTGGCCTCCTCGCACCCGCTCTCCTTCCTGGAGAGCGAGATCAACACGCCAGCGCAGATCAGCGAGATCTTTGACGCCATCGCCTACAGCAAGGTGAGGGACCTGCTGGGACTGCCCAGGGCCCGGGTTGGGGGCAGCCCCTCCTGGGAAGCGAGCCGGGTGGGCTGTGCTGCCCTCTCGCGGCTCCTGGACCCTCGCTCAGCGCCTCTCTCTGATCTTCCTGCAGGGGGCGTCGGTGCTGCGGATGCTCTCGGAGTTCCTCACCGAGAACAGCTTCAAGAAGGGGCTGCAGGTGAGGCCCTGGCCGGACCCGCCTCGCCAGGGGCAGGGGCTGCGTGCCCAGCAGAGGGCTCAGCCGGACGCTGCCTGCATGGCCCCTGCTCCGAGGCAGGCGTCAGCCTGGGCTCCCTTGGGAGGGTGCTCTGCCGAAGGGGAACCTGCCAAGCCCCCCAAACTCTGGCGGTGCTCACCGGACCCGCGGGCAGTCTGTCCAGGAGGCAGAGCCACGGGGAGGCGCTGGAGGGGCAGAGGAGCGGGCAGGGCCTGAGGGCAAAGGATGGTGCTGGGGGTGTGCCCACGCACACATGCAATGCCCTGCTCAGCGTGAGTTACATGCCTGCTCTGTGCCAGTACCGAGGCTGCAGGCTGGGGCAGCCCCTGGCTACAAAGCCTGGCAATTCACTCAAGTGGCAGGCTTTGGCTTGCAGGTCCCTGGTCCAGTCGAGCGTTGGCCAGCATGGCAGCCATCATGCCCATGGTGGCCGGGCCTGGGGAAGGGCCCAGCCTGCGCACTCGCTCCCACTGTCTCAGTACAGCCCCTGGTGGCATGGCCCTGCGGTGCCCACTCCTGCCCAGACACCCTGCAGGGGAAGAGTGTGGGTGAGCAGTAGGGAGGGCACTGCTGCTGGGAGCCATGGGCCTCTGCCTTTGACAGCCATGCCCAGAAAGTCTGGGACTTTGCTCAATGCAATGCCTCTGCCTTCGCCTGGCAGCAGGCACGCAGGATGTACTCTTGGGGAGGCGGCTCCCCTGCTGAGCCCCGACTCAGGGATCCCCATCTCATCCCGAGCGAATAAGAACATAAGAAGAACATAAGAGCGGCCAGACTGGGTCAGACCAAAGGTCCAGTCAGCCCAGTGTCCTGTCTGCCGATAGTGACCAGTGCCAGGTGCCCCAGAGGGAGTGAACAGAACAGGGAATCATCAAGTGATCCTTCCCCTGTCGCCCATTCCCAGCTTCTGGCAAACAGAGGCTAGGGACACCACCCCTGCCCGTCCCGGCTAATAGTCATTGATGGACCTCTCCTCCAGGAACTTATCTAGCTCTTTTTTGAACCCTGTTATAGTCTTGGCCTTCACAGCATCCTCTGGCAAGGAATTCCTCAGGTTGACTGTGCGCTGTGTGAAGAAATACTTCCTTTGGTTTGTTTTAAACCTGCTGCCTGTTAATTTCATTTGGTGACCCCCAGTTCTTGTGTTATGAGAAGGAGTAAATAACACTTCCTTGTTTACTTTCTCCACATCAGTCATGATTTTATAGACCTCTGTCATATGCCCCTTAATCGTCTCTTTTCCAAGCTGAAAAGTTCCCATCTTATTAATCTCTCCTCATACGGCAGCTGTTCCACACTCCTAATAATTTTTGTTGCCCTTTTCTGAACCTTTTCCAATTCCAATATAGGTTTTTGAGATGGGGCGACCAGATCTGCATGCAAGATGTGGGCGTACCACGGATTTATGTAGAAGCAACATGATATTTTCTCTCTCATTATCTATCCCTTTCTTAATGATTCCCAACATTCTGTTTGCTTTTTTGACGGCTGCTGCACATCGAGTGGATGTTTTCAGAGAACTATCCACACTGACTCCAAGGTCTCTTTCTTGAGTGGTCACAGCTAATTCACACCCCATCATTTTATACGTATAGTCGGGATGATGTTTTCCAGTGTGCATTGCTTTGCATTTATCAGCATTGAATTTCATCTGCCATTTTGTTGCCCAATCACTCAATTTTGGCAGTTTTTGTAGCTCTTCACAGGCTGCCTGGGACATAACTATCTTGAGTAGTTTTGTATCATCTGCAAATTTTGCTACCTCACTGTTTACCCCTTTTTCCAGATCATTTATGAACATGTTGAATAGGACTGGTCCCAGAACAGACCCCTGGGGGACACCAGTATTTACCTCTCTCCACTCTGAAAACTGACCATTTATACCTACCCTTTGTTTCCTATCTTTTAACCAGTTACCAATCCATGAGAGGACCTTCCCTCTTATCCCATGACTGCCTGCTTTGCTTAAGAGCCTTTGTTCAGGGACCTTGTCAAAGGCTTTCTGAAAATCTAAGTACACTGTATCCACTGGATCCCCCTGGTCCATGTGCTTGTTGACCCCCCTCAAAGAATTCCAGTAGATCGGTGAGGCAGGATTTCCCTTTACAAAAACCATGTTGACTCTTCCCCAACAAGTTACTGTGACGATGTGACTTAGCAGGGAGGGGGAGTGTTGACCTGGGAATATGCCCTGGGGATGGGAGACCTGAGAGCCTGTCACCTGAGCCAGAAGGGGGAGGGGGAGGGGGCGGTAACACCTCTGCCGGGGAATCTGGACAGAGGATGCAGCAGGGAACCTGCTGGGTGGGTTTAGTTTCAGTTTGGTGCTGGGTGGAGGAACACAGGGAACCCCAGGGCTGGGGTCTAAGCTCCCTGTTCCCCCAGAAGGACTTGACTGAGGGATCCTGGGTGCACCCACAAGCGCTGTTTTGGACTGTGTTCCTGTTGTCCAATAAACCTTCTGTTTTACTGGCTGGCTGAGAGTCTCAGTGAATCCCAGGAAGAGGGGTGCAGGGCCTGGACTCCCCCACACTCCGTGACAACTGGTGGCAGCCGTGGGATGTACTGCACCCCGTGAACGGCGCTTCCTGCAGTAAGTGACTGGGGAGCAGTAAAACGAAGGGGGATTGACGGGAACCAGGCGTGCTGAAGATTCAGAGAGAGACGGTTTCAGGGGGCGGTTAACCCCTGGGAGTGTGTGACCAGAGAGAAGGACTTTCGCAGTAAAGGGTCCCCCGGGGAATTGCAGCGAGCGGTCCCAGGGGCGGAGGAGTCTGCAGCTCGACCCTGGCAAAGAGGTTGTGACCTCAAGAAGGACTGGCACACGAGGGGTTTTTCCTGGAAACCGTGGAAAGCTGCCCGGCCTGTGAGTGGCCAGCAGGGAGATGTACGCTAAACGCCTGAAGAGCGACCTGGTGGAGCTGTGCAGGCAGAGGGGGCTGCGCATCAGGAGGTCCACCAAGGAACAGCTGATTGCCCAGTTGGAGGAGAGGGATCGCTTGGATGACCCGATCCCTGCCCCTGAGGGAAGCCGCCCGGTGGACTTAGCATGGGCCCTGGGGCCTGACCGGGCTGGGAGGGGTCAGACTGCTGCCGAGGACACCCCGAGACCCTTCCTACCTAGGCCTGGGGGAGGGGTTGGGGGAAGCCCGGCGAATACCGAGGGCACCCTGACCCTGGCAGCCAGCAGGGGATCCTCCCGGAGGAGCTCCCCATCCCTGGAGCAGATGCGGCTGGAATGGGAGAGGGAGATGAAAATGAGGGAGCTGGAGGATCATGAAAAACAACGTCAACATGAGCAGGAGGAGAAGGAGCGGGAATGTCAGGAGAAGGAGAGGCAACGTAGGCATGAGCAGGAGGAGAAGGAGAGGGAACTTCAGGAGAAGGAGAGGGAGCGTCAGGAGAAGGAGAAAAAAAGACAGCTTGAACTGGAGCTAGCCAGGCTGAGGAACAGTGGGGCCCCGGCTGCGGTGCGTGAGGGGGGACCCAAGACTGCAAGGAACTTTGATAAGTGCTTCCTGGCCCAGCGTAAGGAGGGGAAGGACATAGATAGCTTCCTGACGGCCTTTGAGAATGCCTGCGAGATGCACAGGGTTGACCCTGCAGACAGGCTCCAGTTTCTCACCCCCTTACTGGACCCCAAAGCCGTGGAGGTGTACAGCCGAATGACAGGGGCAGAGGCAGGGGACTATGAACTGTTCAAACAGGCCCTGTTCCGTGAGTTTGGGCTGACCCCCGAGATGTACCGGAGAAGGTTCCGGAGTCAGCGTAAAACGCCTGAGGTCACCTACCTACAACTGGTCAACCGGATGCAGGGGTATGCCCGCAAGTGGGCAGCTGGGGCCCAAGCTAAAGAGGACCTGCTTGACCTAATCGTACTGGAGCAACTGTATGAACAGTGCCCTTCCGACCTGAGGCTGTGGTTGGTGGACAAAAAGCTAGAGAACCCCCAGCACGCAGGGCAGCTGGCCGACGAGTTTGTGAACAGTCGGACAGCGGGTAGCAGGGAGGAATCCCAAAAGAACAGGCCCCCCCCGATGCAGAGAGAGAGTCACCAGGGGACCTCCCAGCGGGGAAATAGGGAGAACCCCCTCCCAAGGGGAACGCCTGGCGTCGGGCCCCTCTGACCCGCTCGAGGGGACCAACGTGACCTGAGCTGCTATCACCGTGGCCAGAGAGGCCACGTACGGACCCAGTGCCCGGGCTCAGGGACAGACTGAGCAGACCCAACCTACCCAGGGTTAACTGGGTAGGGACCCAGCTGGACGAGGGGCAGATGGCCCAGGCAAGGGGGGGCTGCCAGCTTACCACCTGCTCCGGAGGGAAGAGTACCCCAGGCCAGCTCCGCCAGAGGGCTGGATGCTGTGGACTCAGGGTGCTTGGTTTACAGGGTGGGCGCGGGGCTGTCCCTCCGGAGAGAGTGCCTTGTTCCCCTGGAGGTGGATGGGAGGAAGGTCAATGGATACTGGGATACGGGCGCGGAGGTGACGCTGGCCCGGCCCGAGGTGGTGGCCCCAGATCGGGTGGTGCCCAACACCTACCTGACCCTGACGGGGGTGGGCGGGACCCCATTTCAGGTGCCTGTGGCAAGGGTACACCTGAAATGGGGGGCCAAGGAGGGCCTCAAGGATGTGGGGGTACACCACCATTTGCCCACTGAGGTTTTGATGGGGGGAGACCTAGAGGACTGGCCAAGCAACCCCCAGACCCCCCTGGTTGTGACCCGTAGCCAGAGCCGGCGAGGGGCACTGCGCCCTGACCTCGGGGAGGGTACCGCACCGGAGGCGCAGGACCCTTCCCTGGTGGGGAGGAAGCGCCGAGGGGCACGGCTCAGAGAGGCGGAGGCCTCAGACCTGGCCACTGAGGGGGAACCGGTCCCCATCCCTTCCCCAGCCCCTGAGTTCCAGGCCGAGTTGAGGAAAGATCCCTCCTTGCGGAAGCTCAGGGACCTGGCCGACCTCGGTGTGGGACGGACCATGAGGAGAGGCTGCCAGGAGAGGTTCCTGTGGGAGAAGGGGTTCCTATACCGAGAATGGGCTCCCCCAGGGGAAGTGGAGTCCTGTGGGATCAGGAGGCAGCTGGGGGTCCCCCAGAAGTATCGCCGCAAGCTCCTGTACCTGGCCCATGACATCCCCCTCGCAGGGCACCAGGGAATCCGGCGCACCCGGCAGAGGTTGCTACAGAACTTTTACTGGCCTGGGGTCTTTACCACGGTCCGGCAGTATTGCCGATCCTGTGACCCCTGTCAGAGGGTGGGGAAGGCCCGGGACAAGGGGAAAGCGGCTTTGAGACCTTTGCCCATCATAGAGGAGCCTTTCCAGAAGGTGGCCATGGACATCGTGGGGCCTCTCAGCAAGACGACCCGGTCGGGGAAGAAATACATTCTGGGGGTGGTAGATTTTGCCACCCGCTAACCCCGAGGCAGGTGCCCTTAGCTTCCATTGAAGCAGACACCGTGGCCGATGCGCTCCTGACCATTTTCAGCCGAGTGGGGTTCCCCAAGGAAGTCTTGACAGACCAAGGCTCCAACTTCATGTCGGCCCTGCTCCGGTGCTTGTGGGAGAAATGTGGGGTCCGGCATGACTGGGCCTCAGCGTATCACCCCCAGTCCAACGGGCTGGTGGAGAGGTTCAACGGGACGCTAAAGATGATGCTGAAAACCTTTATGAACCAGCACCCGCAGGATTGGGACAAGTACTTACCTCACCTGCTGTTCGCGTACAGGGAGGTGCCCCAGGAGTCTACCGGATTTTCGCCTTTCGAACTGTTATATGGAAGGAGGGTGAGGGGCCCCCTGGACCTGATGAGAGACGAGTGGGAGGGGAAGGCCACTCCCAATGGAGAGTCAGTGGTGGAGTATGTCCTGATCTTCCGAGAGAGACTAGCTGAACTCATGGGCCTGGCCAGGGAGAATCTGGCCAGAGCCCAGAAGAAGCAGAAGGTCTGGTATGACCGCACGGCGCGACCCGTGCCTACGCCACCGGGGATCCGGTGATGGTTCTCATCCCCATGAGAAAGAACAAACTACAGGCCGCCTGGGAGGGCCCTTTCAAGGTTGTCAAGCAGCTCAATGAGGTAAACTATGTGGTGGAGCTGTCGAACTGGGTGCACCACCGCCGGGTGTACTATGTGAATATGATGAAGCCATATTATGCCAGGGGGAATGTGGTGTTGGCCGTCTGAGGACAGTGGGAGGAGCAGGGAGATGCCCCTTTAGTAGATCTATTCCCTGGGACCAGAGCTGGTTCCCCCCTGGAAACAATTCCCCTCTCGGATCAGCTAACCCCTGCCCAGCAAGCTGAGGTCAGGGGGGTGCTGCATTCGTACCAACAGCTGTTTTCCAACCAGCCTGGACACACTAATCTGACTGTCCACCGGGTGCAGACAGGGTCGCACCCGCCGATAAGATGCTCCCCCTTCCGAGTCACAGGGAAAACTGCTCAGGACCTGGAAAGAGAGGTCCGGGACATGCTGGCTTTGGGGGTGATCCAGCCATCTGCCAGCCCTTGGGCCTCGCCGGTGGTGCTGGTCCCCAAAAAGGACGGGTCGGTCCGGTTCTGTGTGGACTATCGGAAGCTCAATGCCATCACTGTATCTGATGCCTACCCCATGCCCAGGCCGGACGAGCTCCTAGACAAGCTGGGAGGAGCTCGGTACCTCACCACCATGGACCTTACAAAGGGCTACTGGCAAGTGCCGCTGGATGCAGATGCCCGGCTGAAATCGGCCTTTATCACCCCTCTGGGGCTCTGAGTTCCTGACCCTGCCTTTCGGCCTCAAGGGAGCGCCGGCCACCTTCCAGCGCCTGGTGGACCAGCTCCTGAGGGGGATGGAGAGTTTTGCCGTGGCGTATATTGATGACATCTGTGTCTTTAGCCAGACCTGGGAGGACCACGTGTCCCAGGTTAGACAAGTGCTGGACCGACTCCAGGGGGCTGGGCTGGACTGTAAAGCGGAGAAGGGCAAGGTGGGGATGGCTGAAGTATCTTACCTGGGCCACCAGGTGGGGAGCCTAAAGCCGGAACCAGCCAAGGTGGAGGTGATCAGAGACCGGCCCGCTCCCCACACCAAAAAGCAGGTCCAAGCCTTTATTGGGTTGGCAGGATACTACCGAAGATTTGTGCCCCACTTTAGCGCCATAGCCACCCCCATCACTGAGCTATGCAAGAAGGGGAAGCCAGACAAGGTGGTCTGGACCGAGCAGTGCCAGGAGGCTTTCCGGGCGCTGAAGGAGGCTCTGGTCAGTGGCCCAGTTCTGGCAAACCCAGACTTTGACAAGCCCTTTGTGGTGTTCACCGACGCCTCCAACACGGGACTGGGGGCGGTGTTAATGCGGGAGGATGAAAAGGGGGAGAGACACCCCATCGTGTACCTGAGCAAGAAGTTGCTACCCCGGGAGCAACACTACGCGCCATCGAGAAGGAGTGCCTGGCCATGGTGTGGGCCCTCAAGAAACTAGAGCCCTATCTCTTCGGAGCGACACTTCACCGTGTACACCGACCACTCTCCCTGACCTGGCTGCACCAGATGAAAGGAGCCAACGCCAAACTCCTGAGATGGAGCCTGCTCCTGCAGGATTACGACATGGACGTGGTCCACGTGAAGGGAAGGGCCAACCTGGTAGCGGATGCGCTGTCCCGGAGAGGGGGCCCCGAACTTTCCCAGGTCACTGGTCACAGTGACCCCGCTCAGTTCAATCTCAAAGGGGGGAAAGATGTGATGATGTGACGCAGCAGGGAGGGGGGAGTGTTGACCTGGGAATGTGCCCTGGGGATGGGAGACCTGAGAGCCTGTAACCTGAGCCAGGACGGGGAGGGGGAGGTAACACCTCTGCCCAGGAATGTGGACGGAGGCTGCAGCAGGGAACCTGCTGGGGGGGGGGTTAGTTTTTCAGTTTGGGGCTGGGTGGAGGAACGCAGGGAACCCCAGGGCTGGGGTCTAAGCTCCCTGCTCCCCCAGAAGGACTTGACTGAGGGGTCCTGGGTGTACCCACAAGCTCTGTTTTGGACTGCGTTCCTGTTGTCCAATAAACCTTCTGTTTTACTGGCTGGCTGAGAGTCTCAGTGAATCCCAGGAAGAGGGGTGCAGGCCTGGACTCCCCCACACTCCGTGACAGTTACATTCATCAATGTGTCTGACAATTTTGTTCTTTACTAGAGTTTCAACCAGTTTGCCCGGTACTGAGATCAGGCTTACCGGCCTGTAATTGCTGGGGTCACCTCTGGAGCCCTTTTTAAAAATTGACAGGTTTCAGAGTAAAGCCGTGTTAGTCTGTATCCAAGAAAGAAAAGGAGTACTTGTAGCACCTTAGAGACCTAATTTATTTGAGCATGAGCTTTCGTGAGCTACAGCTCACTTCATCAGATGTATACCGTGGAAACGTTTCCACGGTTACATCTGATGAAGTGAGCTGTAGCTCACGAAAGCTCATGCTCAAATAAATTGGTTAGTCTCTAAGGTGCTACAAGTACTCCTTTTCTTTTTAAAAATTGGTGTCACATGAGCTCTCCTCCAGTCATGTGGTGCAGAAGCTGATTTAAATGATGGGTTAAAGACGACAGTTAGTAGTCCTGGAATTTCACCCTTGAGTTCCTTCAGAACTCTTGGGTGTATCCCACCTGACCAACCTTCCCTTTCCTTGTGTTTTCACAGTCCTACCTCCAAGCCTTCAGCTACGGAAACACGGTCTACGACGATCTGTGGGATCATTTGCAAAAGGTGCGAAGCTCCTCCCACCAGCTGGAGGAGCATGACCAGGGGCTGGGGCCGGGGTTCTGTTGCATGACACTTAGTGGCACTTTCCTGTAAGAAGCCCGTTACTGTCAGGGACAGGGGGGCTGGGGCCCACCCAGCCGTGATGCAACTGAAATTAAGGCAGCCACCTTCTCTCTGCCTCCATTTGAACGACACGCCCCACACAGGGCACAGTGCTGGCTGCATGCCTGGGCCCCAGCAGGCACGTGGGCAGGCTTGGCGCACGGCTCCGCTGGGCACAGGACAGGAATCGGAAGCCGTTCCCTGGCAGGGGCCTGATTGGCGCTTGTCTTGCCTCGTCCGTGCTGCACGAACACAGAGAATGGCATGGCCCCCTGCCCCAGAGAGCGCCTGATCCTGCCAGCTCTTGCGCCCGGCTCATGCAAACAGCGCCAGGGAACCCTGCTGAGGCCGGCCGGGACAACCGTACGATACCGCTTCTTTCCAGAGCCGGTGAACGGAGTCCTCGTCGCTGGGGGAGGCTGGTGTGATGCCGCCAGTGACTGCCAGAGCTCTAGACAGGCCGTGGCGGGAGTGTCCCTGTCACAGCGCATGAAGCTGCTGTGGGGGTTCATCTGAACCTTCCCAAACACCCAGCTCTGGGCACTTCTCTCTTCCCCCAAAGGTGCCCTGTAGAAGGGCAGGGGGTGGGGATGGAGCCGGGAGTCCCCAGCCTAGCCTCTGCGGGAGCCGATCCACCGAGAACAGCAGCCAATAGCCCCTTCCTGCCCCCTGCATAGGTGGTGGTTGAAGACAACATTCAGCTCCCCACCACCATCAAAGGCATCATGGATCGCTGGACACTGCAGATGGGCTTCCCCATGGTGACCGTGGACACGAAAGTTGGCTCCATTAGCCAGAGACACTTCTTACTGGACACCGAATCCATTGTCGAGCGGCCCTCGGCGTTCAAGTGAGTGATCGAATGGCCCTTTTTGCCCCCTGAGGTCCCACACTAGAGAGGCTGGCTGTCCTAAGCACGGTGGGCGTGAGCCCCTCCCCTGCCACCACAGAGCCCCATGGCTGTGCCTCTCGGAGGGGGCCCTGCGGGATCGTGGCCAGGGCTGCACTGCGGCACCCCCAGGTAGAGCTGAGAGAACTGAGACCTTGCGGTGCTGGGTCCCCTGGAGCCCCATAGGCCTTCTGCCTCCGAGAGGCTGAGGCCCGAGGCCAGCCCCGTTCCTCCATGCTCCTTGCAGGGACCTCCCCATGGGGCGTCACCCCTTTGAGGGGTGAGGGTGAGGGTGTGATTTGGGTGAGGCAGCAGTGATCACCGGGGGGTGATCCCTTGCACTGGGAGCTGGGACTCTGCCGGGGGCAGAACCAGGCAGAGTAAGGAAGAGCAGGAGAAGATCCCAGTGTCTGTCTGTCTGTCTGTCTGCAGCTACACCTGGATAGTCCCTGTCACTTGGATGAAGCAGCAGGATGGGACAGAACAGATGTACTGGCTCACCAAGACCTCAGGTACTTGCTGGTCCCTGGCCGTGTCCCAGGGAACCGGTGTTGCTGCAGGACCAGGATATGGTGCTAGCAGTTGCCAGGTTTGCTATGCCAGTGCCATGGTCAGTGCCCTGGGGAGATTTCAGTGCGGTTACTGGGGGTGTCACTACCCCTCTTCAGCCCAGACAGGTCTGCAGGGGAAGAGTCTTTATCAGGGAGCAGCCCCCAGAGGGGCTAAGTGGGGGAGTTCTAGGGGGAGACCTCTCCGGAGGGGCTCAGTGGGGGTTCTAGGGGGCAGTCTCTGGAGGGGCTCTGGAGGGGGTTCTAGGGGGTGGCCCCCGGAGGGTTCTAGGCTCAGGCACTCTCTGCTGTAGACTTGAAGGGATGGGCCCCACTAACGTGCTTCCTTTTCCTTTCTCAGCCACCAGCTCATCGTTTGTGGTGGCTGGTGCCTCCAACTGGCTCCTGCTCAACATCAACGTGACGGGGTATTTCCGGGTGAACTATGACCAGGAGAACTGGAACAAGCTGCTGAGCCAGCTGGTCACCAATTATGAGGTACCCGAAAGCCCAGCCTCTGCCCCCCGCACCAGCACTCTCAGCCCAGGGGACCAGGCCCCTGCCGTGGGGTGGTCGAGCCCCAAGCTGGGCCAGGGACCCCACAGCCAGCCCAAGCTGAGTCGCCCATTCCAAGGCTCTTCTCCCCCGACCCGGTCTGCTCCTGCCCCTGGTAATCGTGTTTGCTCTTTTCCAGGTCATCCCGGTGATAAACCGAGCCCAGCTCATTGACGATGCCTTTAACCTGGCCAGGTGAGTCGCCCAAGCCGCTGGGCCGCCACGGGGTGACAACCAGCCTCTGGCCTCCTCCCCCAGCCCCACGGCGGCGTCCTCTGCCCACGGCGCCGGAGCGCCGGCTGGCAGGCCAGGGAGGAGTCTGTCCCCGCACCCCCCCTTCAGGCAGCGAGAGGGAGGCCCCCCACACCCTCCGGTTCCCCCTCTCTGGGCTGGGCAGGCCGGGAATCTCCCCCCTCCCCCCCGCCCCACCGTTGTCTGGTCCCTGCCGCAGCGGGGGACGAGGGGCCGGCAGAGGCTGGGCGCTGACGTCCCCGGCAGGCCCACGGGCAGGGGACTGGGCTGCTGAACATCTGAGGCGTAGCACCTACCCCAGGTACACAGCCAGCCTGCGCCAGGCTCTGTCCTGCCTGGCACCCTGGGTCTCTCACTGCCGTGCCCTGGTGCAAGGGGGTGAGGGGAGCGTCCGGATGGGGGCTTGTGTGGGGAGCTGGGCTGCACGTCCTCCCTCACCAGGCCAGGCTGGCCCCTGTGCGTGGGGCAGCAAACATCCAGGGGGCAGGCGGGGGAGGGGGGGAGTAACTGAGCAGGCCCTGCAGGGGTCCTTCGGGATGGACTGGCCACTCTGCTGGCAGGCAAGCAGGGGGTCAGTCTGTGGGGTATTAGCAACAGGGGATGGGGAGGGGGTCCATTGCTGGGGGGAATGGGAGGAGGCAGCCAGGTGGAGATGGGGGGGTCCATTGCCGAAGGGGATGGGAGGGGGTGGGGTCCATTGCCAGGCAGGGGGTGGGGAGAGGTTTAATTGCCGGGGGGTGGGATGGAGGCGGTGGCCGGGCGGGAATGGGTGGGGGTCCATTGCTCTGGAGGAAGGGGAGGGGTTCTATTGCTGGGGGGGGGCTGGGAGGGGGACAGCCAGGCGGGGACGGGGGAGTCCACTGATGGGGGGCGGGGATGGGAGGGGGCGGGGTCCATTGCCAGGCAGGGAGGGCGCAGAGGGCACGGAAATGCCAGCACATCTGGTGCTGTGACAGGAGGACGTGAGCGCTGCAATTGGCTGTTTAGGGCTAAACACATCGACATCACGCTGGCTCTGAAAACCACCACCTACCTGAAGGAGGAGCGGGAGTACCTGCCCTGGAGCGCAGCCCCTCGACAACCTGGCCTACTTCCGCCTGATGTTTGACCGCAGCGAGGTGTATGGCCCCATGCAGGTGAGCCCCCACCTGCCTTGGGTGCGGTGGATTGTGGGCAGCATGGCCGGATGGTGCTCGGATGGGCGCTCTGCCATCCCCCGCCTGTGCTGGGATCAGTTCAGCTGTGGGCCTGGCACAAAGGCAGGGCATAGGGTGGGCTCTGCAAATCACCCCCTGCGAGCCAGAGAGACGCTGAGGCGGGCCCCAGAGGGTGGGAGCTACTCGGGGAAGGGCATGGGGTGAGGGAATGGAGGTGGCAGGAGCCGTGGGCGCGCTGGGTGATTGGGGCGTGGTGGGGAAGGCTCAGAGCTACTGACCCTTCTGGCAAGCAGCACTCACCCTGCCCGTCCTCCCCCAGAAATACATCCAGCAGCAGGTGATCCCCTTGTTCCAGTACTTTGGAAACATCACCTCCAACTGGACCAGTCTCCCGGAAGGCTTGATGGCGCAGTGAGTCCCAGCGCGGCGTGTCCTCTGGCCAGCCACAGGGCTGGCCCTGCGCCCCCGGCGCCCCCACAGCCTGGAGAACTGCTCCTCCCGTGACCACTGCTACCTCTCTGGGTCCCCCCTTCCTTGCCCCACCCCTCAGCCAAGGGGGCGCTGGGCATGGCTCCCAGAGTGCGGGCACGCTGGGGCCGGTTGGGTGGCTCTGTGTTATGGGCATATGCCACTCTTCCAGACCCCCCCTCTCCTCCCGCTCTTCCTCCCTCTGCCCCACAGGACCCGAGAGACAGGGCATCCCCTCCCCACTGGTGGGATGGCTGAGCTGGGCAGCGGCATCCGCTGGGGAGGAAGCAGAAGCAGCTGCCACGCGGTGCCCGGTGGGAACGGCCCAGGGTTCACCCAGGCCAGCACTGTCCCCGAGAGTGCCCACTGCTCACAGCCTCCGAGCGAGGTGACCCCCACCCAGCTCGTGCTGCGCCTGGCAGATGGGGCAGCCGGAGAGACGCCTCCTGGGCCGGGCTGGTGATGGGCCGGTGGGCGCCTGCCTCTGTCACGGTCATTCTGCCTGGTCTCCCTGCCCCCTAGGGCCCCTTCGCCGGGTCCAGCCGCTGACACGGCTCCTCTCCCCACTCAGGTACAGCGAGATCAACGCCATCAGCACGGCCTGTTCCTATGAGGTCCCTGAGTGCAGCCAGCTGGCCACCGCCTTCTTCAACCAGTGGAAGCAAAACCCCAGCAACAACACGTGAGCCCTTCCCTGTGGCCTCTGGGATGGGGGGCTGGGCTGGACCAGGGCGTGGTACCCCTGGGATGGGGGGCTGGGCTGGACCGGGCCATGGAGCCCCCTGGGATGGGGGGCTGGGCTGGACTGGGCCATGGAGCCCCCTGGGATGGGGGGCTGGGGCAGGCCATTGAGGGAGCTCAGGCAGAATTTGCCTAGTTCCAGCTGGTAACACCCAGCTCCCGGCGCTGCCTGGGCCCTTGGTGTCCTAGTGAGATGCTAGCCCTACTCACGGGCCCGCTCTCTCCAGGTGGGGGTCGCCCCCCAGCACTCCTCCGTGGGAGCCTCTCCCCATGGTCTGCGCCAGGGCTCTGCTGAGTGGGGCCCGGTGCCTGAGTTTCCCCGGCACGGCCCCCATGACAGGCATGTTCCCCCCCCAGGATCCCCCCGAACCTGCGCTCCTCCATCTACTGCAGCGCCATACAGATGGGCAGCGAGGCAGACTGGGACTTCCTCTGGCAGATGTTTAAAAACGCCACCGTGGTGGCCGGCCGACAAGCTGCGCTCGGCCCTGGCCTGCAGCAAGGAGCCTTGGATCTTGAGAAGGTGGGGCGGGGGGGAAGGGCACACAGCTGCCCTTGGGGAATGGGGGCCTGTGGGCGTGGGGATGGGGAGGGTCCAGGCTGCCGTGGGCACGGGGAAGGAGAAGGGCCTGGGGTTGCCTGCAGCAGTTGGCGGCCCTGCGTGTACCAGCCCTGCCTGCCCCCTCCCCAGGTATCTGCAGTACGCCCTGGATCCCACCAAAATCCGGAAGCAGGACGCCACCTCCACCATCAACAGCATCGCCAGTAACGTGGTGGGGCAGAGCCTGGCCTGGGACTTCATCCGGGGCAACTGGAAGACCCTTTTTCACGCAGTGAGTACCATGGAGGGGCAGCCCGGGGGGAGCGGGAGGGGGCTGGGGAATGCGGGGGAGCAAGGGGGAGTGGGGGAGCTATAGGGGATGGGGGGTAGGGGGATGGAACAAGCAAGGGGGAATGGGGGGGCAATGGGGAGTGGAGAAGCTACGGGGGATGGGGGGGTAGGGGAGCAAGGGGGATGGGACAAGTAAGGGGGGATGAGGAATGTGGGTGGGCAATGGGGAGCCTGGGGGAGGGGGGAGGAGCAAGGGGGATGGGGAATGGGGGTCAATGGGGAGCCTGGCTGGGGGGAGGGGGAGGAGCAAGGGGAGAGGGGGAATGGGGGGGGCTCTCAGTCTCCCCCCGCACGTTCTGTGCCCTTCGTGCCATCCCGGGCTCCTGTGGCTCCTGGCGAAGGGCAGGGGGTGCTCCCTGCCCCCATGCCCTGAAGCTCTTCCCTCTGCTGAGCCCTGGCAGAGACACGGCCCCGGGGTGGCTGTTTCTGGGATGCTGCCCCTGTGGGAGGAAGGCACCTGCCCCACGCCCGCCTGCTCACCCCACCCTCCCCTCTGCAGGTACGGCGGGGGCTCCTTCTCCTTCTCGAGCCTGATCCAGGTGGTGACGCAGCGCTTGCCTCTGACCTCGAGCTGAAGCAGGTGAGGCCCGTCCCAGGCCTGTCGGTGCGCTGGGGGGGCGGGGCCCCTCGGGAAGGGAGAGCCCGACAGTTCTGCTCTAGCCCCCAGGGCCTGGCCCTGGCTCCCCGCAGCCTGTCCCCGGGGCCTGGCCTAGGTGGGCTGTGAGCCGCCCGAGTGCTGGGGCCGGCACCATTTTGTGTGGGGTCGTCGGAGCTTTGCAGCCCCTCTCCATTACTGTGGCTCAGCCGCCAGGCCGGAGCTCCTTGCCTGGCCACCCTGCAACAGAGGGGTCCTGCCTCCCCTGCCGGGAGGGTGAGTCCATCAAGCCCCCGTCACTTGGGGGCAAGCCAGGGCAGATCTAGGGAGAGGTCCAGCTGTGATGACAGCCCCAGGGACGCCAGTGCCCCGCTACCTCCAGACGCACATGCCCCCTGCCCGTTAAGCGGGCCGCAGCCGAGGAATTGGTGCTGCAGGAAACCTCGTGTGTTACCTAAGCACCCCTAGGCCCAGCCCCATGGGCCGAATGCCTGTCCCTTGGGTTCACATCCTGGCTCCCGCCCTGCGTGGCCAAGCTGCTTCCCCTGCTCCTCCTGAGTCCACCCCTCTGGCCCCGCGGGCGTCTGGGGCTGCTCGGCCCCCTGCCCAGGTCTGAGGTGCCCGGGTGGGTGCCAGGGCCGCCGGAGGGCACCGTGGTGCAGAGGTGGGTGCTGTCCTGCTGCCGCCCGCGCTCACTCTCGGGCCCGCTCTCTCTCGGCAGCTGGAGCAGTTCAAGGCGGACAATGCTGGCGTGGGCTTTGGGTCGGGCACACGGGCGCTGAGCAGGCCCTGGAGAAGACCGCAGCTAATATCAAATGGGTGGCAGAGAACAAGCAGACGGTGCTGACGTGGTTTGAGACGGCAAGCAGCTGAGTGGGTGAACTCAGTAACACCGAACCCCCCCCACGTCTGCCTCCTCCCCCCGCTGCTCGGGGGGGGGGGCAAGGGGCTGAGCCCCGGGCTCCCGAACCCCATGCCCTGGGCATGCAGCCTCCTGAACTCTCCTGTCACTGGGCCCAGGCTCCCCTCCCAGAGAGCCCCACACCCTCCCCCCACACCCCAATCGGCCTACACCCCCAGCGTGCTCTGCACAGCCTGGGGCTCCAGCCTGGCCGGGGTCCCACAAGGATTTGCACACTGGCCCCACTGCCAGGGCCTCGCCACAGCCCTGGTTTCCGTGACTGTCCCAGGGAAGCCCAGGTGCCCGTGGGCTGGTCACGGGCAGACAGGAGGGTGAGGACCGCGGGGCTGCTGACTGGGGACCCCCAGCCCCGCTGTGGGCCAGGACATGTGCGTGGTGTATAGTCCCTTCTCCAGCCCAGACATTGTAAATAAAGGCTTAATGTTAAAAGGTAGAGGCTGTGGGCTTGGGCTTGGCCTGGCCACACCCACGTCTCACTTCCACGTCTCACTTCCACGTCTCACTTCCACGCTCAGCTTGGGCAAGTGCACGGGCTGTTTCCCTTGCCGCCGGCATGGTCAGCGGTGGGGAAGGCAGGGAGAACTGCGGGGGAGGATGTGAGCCGGAGGCAGGTAGACCAGGGGGCGGGGGACCTGGGAGAACAGGGAAGCGAACCCGCTGAGGCTGGTAGGAGCCCGGTGCTGGGTGGTGGCGAGGGCCTGGCGGTGCCGTGGCCCCCGCGGGGGCCGTCTGACGGCGTGTGTCAGTGATCCCCAGGGGCCAGGCCGTCCCCAGCTCTGCTCCCAGACAGGGCCGTGCAGGCTGGTGCAGAGGACGCGGGCGAGGGGGATCCGTGCGAGTGCCGGGGGCAGGGAGCAGGCCCTGAGAAGGCACAGGAGCAGCGGGCCTGGGGGAGGCAGGGGGAGCAGGCCCCACCACAGAAGCGAGAGGAGAGTCCCCCTCCATCCAGTCCAACCCTCTCCCGTGGTGCCCTGTGGCTGGCTTCCAGAGCTCGGGCCAGCCTGGCTGGGAATCTCCCCCCGTGACCAGGGCTCCCCCCCTGTCCCCCGGCGCTCCTCTGCCGGGACGTGAGGCTCTGGCGGTGCAGCCCTGGGAGCCCCGGCCCTGCAGGGACACGCTGCCCGGCCCTGGCTTCCCAGCTTGGCGAAGTCGGGTGCCCAGGTCTGACCTGGGCACAGCGACCATTTGGAGAACGGGCCGGGGCTGCAGGCGTCTCTGGCTGCGTCGGGGGCAGCGCGGCAGCCCTGGGCTGAGGCCGGAGGTGTGATGTGGAACCTGGGTGGGCACCATTAGCACGTCCAAGCCTGGGGAAGGGGCAGGCAGTGGGGTGGGGAAACCAAGGGGGCTCGGAGGCAGAGTCAGGCCTGTGTGACCCGTTCACGGCGCTGTGCCATGCATGGGTCTGGAGTCACTTGGATAGCAGCCCACTTTCCTGCAGGAAGGTGGCATCGCCTTCTTGTGTCCCCCTGAGCTCCAGCCCCAGGAGTCCCCTTGACCGCCCTCTGCCTGTGACCCCCCATGACCCACTGTGATTCACCTGGCCCCATTGCCTCATGACCCCATCCTTGTGACCCCCCATCCCTTTCCCTGAGTCCCTGCCCATCTCCCTGAGCTGGGCTGCTATCGCTGTTTCTCCAGGCTGCCAAGGGGACCCCAGGGCTCGCGGGGTGAGATGGGTCCAGTTCCGCTCCCGCGTGACTTCGGGCCCTGCCCAGTTGCCTCCAAGAAGCGCCATGGGCAGGGGCTGGCCACGTGGGAAGCGCGCGCCACCCGGGTTCACAGTGCCGCACCACGGGCCCTGCTCCAGGCCACTGCCCGGGGCTGGAGAGACCTGTCAGCCCTACACAGCCCCGGCCGGGCCCCACACAGCCCCAGGCCCCCCCAGCCCCGCGCTGGGCCCCCCCTCAGCCCCACACAGCACCAGGCCAGTTCCCCCATGTCAGCCTCACACAGTAAGACACTGGGGTCCCACTGGGCAGCCCCCCGGGGGCAGTGTCAGGCCCTGCTCCCCCAGACTGGGTCATTCTCATGCAGGCAGAAAGCCCAGCGCTGCCCACACAGCCGGGTAGGGAGCTGACAGCACCCGTGGGGGCGCTCCCCTCCTGGCAGGGGGCTAATGAAATCTGGGCCTGCTGGAGAAATGTAACCGAGCATGAGCCAGATCAGAGCATGGGAGGAGCAGGGACCCTGGTCATGCGGTTCTCCGCATCCATCACCGTCACCACCCCCTACCTTCAGAAGCCTAGTCTGCGGGCTCCCAGAGAGACTCCCCCGCCTCCCCCAGCACCCTCCCGCTCCCAGAGACACCCCACCCCAGCACCTGCCCACTCCTAGAGCCAGGTCTGCCTAGCACCCGCCCGGCTCCCCAGAGACGCCCCGCCTCCCAGCACCCGCCCGCTCCCAGATACACCCCACCCCAGCACCCGCCCACTCCCTAGAGCCAGGTCTGCCTAGCACCCGCCCGCTCCCAGAGACTCCCCCGCCTCCCCCAGCACCCGCCCGCTCCCAGAGACTCCCGCCTCCCCCAGCACCCCGCCCGCTCCCAGAGACCCCTACCCCAGCACCCGCCCACTCCTAGAGCCAGGTCTGCCTAGCACCCGCCCCGCTCCCAGAGACTCCCCACGCCTCCCCCAGCACCCGCCCGCTCCCAGAGACACCCCACCCCAGCACCCGCCCACTCCTAGAGCCAGGTCTGCCTAGCACCCGCCCCGCTCCCCTCCCAGAGACTCCCCCGCCTCCCCCAGCACCCGCCCCCTCCCAGAGAGACTCCCGCCTCCCCCAGCACCCGCCCGCTCCCAGAGACACCCCACCCCAGCACCTGGCCACTCCCAGAGCCAGGCCTGCCTAGCACCTGCTCACAGAGACGCCCCACCTCCCCCAGTCCTTGCCCCGCTCCCAGAGACTCCCCCGCCTCCCCCAGCCCCGCCCGCTCCCAGAGACACCCCACCCCAGCACCTACCCCCTCCCAGAGCCAGGCCTGCCTAGCACCCGCCCCCGCCGCTCCCAGAGACGCCCCCACCCCAGCACCTGCCCGCCTCCCAGAGACGCCCACCTCCCCTAGCCCCCGCCTGCTCCCAGAGATGCCCTGCCTCCCCCAGTCCCCTTCCACTCCCAGAGATGCCCCAAGCCTCCCCCAGTCCCCGCCTGCTCCCAGAACTGGGCCTGCCTAGCACCCACCTGCTCCCAGAGCTGCCCCCTCCTCCCAGCACCCGCCCGCTCCCAGAGCCGGGCCTGCTCACACCCACCCGCCTCCGAGAGCCACCCCCTGCAGCGCCCACCTGCTCCCAGAGCTGCCCTCCAGCACCAAACCTGGCTGAGTGACCCTACAATAACAAACCAGCATGAGCCAGGGCAGGAGATGGAAAGGGTTTAATCAGAAGGCATTTCCCTGCCAGGCACGGCCAGAGTGAAGTGCGGGGCAGGGACCCTGCTGAGAGCAGAGCTGCCGCCCTGAGCGCTAGTCCGTGAAGAGCCCCCCGTATCTCCGCACCCCAACGTTGCCAATGTCCTGCTTCTCATCACCTCTTCAGTGCCAGCGGCCCCCCATTCCTGCTGCTGGGCCGGCTCGGCCGGGATGCCCCAGTGGTGGCTGTGGGCTGGCTGGGGGCTGGGGTCAAGGACCAGTCCAGGGCTGGAGACATGGGCCCTGCCTTGTGCCAAAAGAAAAGCCGTGTTTGGCCAGGTGCCAGGTGGGCCGGCCAGGGCAAAGCGCACTGCACCCGTGCCAGATTCCACCAGCCCCAGTTCTCAGGCACCCCCTTGCCCAGGGCGCCGCGCGGGCAGACCCTGTGCGCCTCAGCTGCATTCTGAGGGGAGCATTTCCCCCTCCCGTAAGGCTCGGTCAGCCCCAGCTTCTGGCTCAGGGGCCCCATTGACTGGCCCTCGGAGTCGTGTGCGGGTGTCCACGGAGTCCCAGGGCGATGCTCTGGAACTGCTCCCCATGAAGCCAGTCAGGACTCTGGGGCAGTCTCCTCTCTGGGAGCAGCCTGTCTGCAGGACACAAGCTCACCCGGCTTCCACCTTCCTGGGTCTGACCTCAGAGCATTCAGTCTCCTCTGCCCCTCCGAGCGCTTCCCACAGCGAGTCCGGGTCTGTAAGGGCTCCTGGGGAAGCCAGAGGGTCCTGCCCCCCAACTCCGCAGTCAGACGTGACTCTCAGCCAGCCAGTAAAACAGAAGGTTTATTAGATGACAGGAACATGGTCTAACACAGAGCTTGTAGCTGCAGAGAACCGGACCCTCAGCTGCGTCCATTTTTGGGGGAGCAGTGAGCCAGACAACCACATCTGCACTTCACTCCATGTCCCAGCCAGCCCCAAACTGAAAACTCTCCAGCCTCTCCTCTTGCCTTTGTCTCTTTCCCTCCCGGGCCAGGAGGCCACCTGATCTCTTTGTTCCCCAACCTTTAGCTCTCACCTTGCAGGGGGGAAGGGCCCAGGCCATCAGTTGCCAGGAAACAGGGTGTTACCATTCTCTGTGTCCAGACTCCTGCACACACCTGCCCTCTAGGGCTCTGCACTGATCATACACCCTTACCCCACCCCCTAGATACTTAAGAACTGCCTAGGGAAACTGAGGCACCCCCACACCTATTCAGAGGAAACATTAAGAACAGTCCCATTTCGTCACCTCGGGGCGCTGCACATTATACAAAGCGATGGGTAGTTCCCCTGGCTGGGCCTCCTGCTCTGCAGCATGGGGAGGGTCCAGTGGTGGGTGTCCCCGCAGCAGCAGCAGCCCGCCGCAGTTGGCCCTGGCAGGGTGAGAGCGGGCCCTTGTTTCCAACCAGATGCCCCCCGTCCAGCCGGGGAGCGGGTGTTGCAGACCCCAGCACCGTGCCCTGCGCGGCAGCGTGCTATGCCCCGTATTGCCCACATCCTTCCCTGGCTCCCGGCGCAGAACCCACCTCCAGGCCCGGGCAGGGCTCAGCGCCAGGTGCCCCGGTAGCTTTTGGCTGTCATGGCAGACCCCTTGGGGC